GGTTTAGGGTTTAGGGTTGAACTTCTGAGATTGAGGGTGTAGCATTCATAAGATACGGGCCTCAATATCTACCATTACTACCTTGGGGATTTCTTAGTATAGTTACTGCATAATAATGAGCCCCAAAACCCTATTCTAAGTATTAAGGCCCCTACAGCATGAATGACACAATCTTGCATTATCCAGAATGTTTACGAGGAGTCTACCGTCATTCCGAAAGTTTGAGGGTATTTGATGGAATGGAGAACTGTGCCCATCGTGGTGGTTGCAGGATTGAGAGATCTGTAGCACCTTCGAAGCTCTCATGATTTCGGTAAGGATTCAGGACATGGGGCGATTGACACTTACTCTTCGAGATATAGGGCTTTCGGATTAGAATCTCGGGTGCAGGAAATGGCATTAGGGACAGGAGTGTCAAGGGGAGCAAACGAGATGTGCAGATGCGCATGAGGTTCCTTGTTGCCCTTAACCTTATAAGCCCTAGGCACTAGAAAGAGAGGCCCTCGTCATGTAGGAAAGCCCTAGGTGCTTTCTGAGTTCGGAAGTTTGCCGGGCTCTGGTTCATCTGCGAGTTGATCTTTGGGGTTTAAATAGGGTTTTGGGTGTTTGGGGTTTTGACAAGAAGGTGTGGACGGAAATAGGATCCGACTCAGATTTCGACAGTGGCAGCACCAGCACTCACCAGTGCCAGCACTCGCGCTAGCGCCAACAGCAATGATGACATTATCATCAGGTCCTTCATTGTTTTCCTTCCCTCTCACCCATCATGGCATTCCTTCATTGCTTCTCCGGCAGGTGCAACAGTTCCCCGCAGAAGTGGGGCCTTTGCGCAAAACGTCGACGCGTTGCGCCGATCATCACAGCTTTCTGGATGAGGATACTCGTAGCCGTCGTAGTCGGGAGGCGACATGTATAAGATCAATGATCGGAGCACACAATTCAAGCTTTCACTACGACCTGCTGCAGACATCTTGGGTTGGTACTTTGCATCCCTAGTAACTATGTTTCGTCTGCAGAAGGCATGATTGACAGGCACAAAGAGTGACATGACTGCGGTTGGACTATGTTCCCGGGTAGAACCCCTCGTTTGAGAAGGGTTCCCCTAATGGGACAGGTCCGTAGAAAGCATTTGTGAAAGATGTACTGCAAGACACAGATGCCAGTCATGTCCTGCAAGAAGGGAAGTATGCTGCGACAATGAACAGCACGAAAAAGCTATGTCAGGTTCTTATTAGAAGGGATTCCCCGTTAGATGGTTCATAGTCACGAGAGGATGTTGCTAAACCCTAAACCCTCGGTAAAGGCGAGTGGAAAAGGGTGCCTATACAAAAAGCCTGAAACCCTAAGCCCCAAAAAGTTGTCTGAAGGTACGAAGGGTGCACGAAGCCCCGACAAGGTGGATCAGTCTGTCTTGTTGGCCCTACATTGACCAGAAAAAGGGCTGCTCAAGATGGGTTTTAGGGTGTAGAGGTTTACGGGTTCCGGGACTCAGGGGTTCAGGGTTGAGGGTTTAGAATTTACGAGTTTACGGGTTTAGGGTTTTGGCTGTAGGGTGTTTTGTGTTTAGGGTTTTGATGTGAGGGGATTGCTCCAAGACCTGCTGGCAGCACTTGCAAACATCGTGCAGCCAAGATTGCAGACATGTGTTCCGAGTTCACCGTTGTAGGCAGCATGGAGTTTAGGGTTTAGGGTAATCGAAGTCCGGGAAGACGAATCCGCAAAGGGCATTTGGTTTGCGGGACAGGACGACAGACCCCTCAAGATTTATTAGTGTAGGGGCTTTGATCATTAGAATAGGGTTCCTTTAAAGGCCTCCTTCAAAGGGTTCTATACGGGCTACTATCAGGGTTCTATAAGATAAGGGTTCTGTAAGATAGGGGCCTCAACAATTAGAATACTGTTTGGGAGGTTCGTTATTAGAATCACTTCTTTTATAGTATAATATACCCCCAAGCCCTATTCTAATTATTAAGGCCCCTACATTACTCTGGTTTTTGTGTGTTTCAGTTCTTGGAACTAGGGTCACATGGTACATGGCAACAACCAATGATTCAGAAACTGACCCTTGCTTCAGAAACTGCGCTTCAGAAACTGTGCCCGAAACTGCGCTTCAGAAACTGCCGCGCTTCAGAAACTGCGCTTCAGAAACTGCGCTTCAGAAACTACCGCGCTTTAGAAACTGCGCTTCAGAAACTACCGCGCTTCAGAAACTGCTGTTCGGCAACTGCGTAATTTGGAAACAGAGCATCCATGCCCAAAGCCGAATGACGTCCATGGTCTAATGCGATTTGGGAAAAGAGAATCCATGCCCAAAGCCTAATGATGTCCATGGTCTACT